GGCAATACATTGTATCACGTCCTGAGATGTTTTGTTGTGTTATGTTTTCTGTTGAGGGGCATGATCAAACCATATGAGTGGGAAATTGGTTGGGGGTTTTGCGCAAATGATCTTAGACAGCCTCCCTGTGAGTCTCCAGAACAGCTGAGTGCCTACGATGCACATGAATCCGACACAGCATGGCACTCCATCCTAATGAATGAGGATGTCTCTGCGCGAACACACCGTCGAACTCGGTCGAGCTAGGATGTCCCTTTGCGAAACTCCTGTGGGCCTCAATGAACTCCGCAACCCAGACGAAGCGATTCGTAGATGCAACGTGTTGCAGAATTGTATGAAGGGGGAAAACAAAGTAGATTCAGTTTACCCGAAACATAGTTTTCCACATGTGTTTCTGGAAAGAAGACCAAGAGGAGTTTCAGAGGATAATGCGGGGGGTTTTCATTTGGACCGCTGTAGAGGGCGCGCACGTCGGAACACAAATCCGAGGAATTCCCCACGTTTGCACATCTTCTGGATGTTCGTCTTCCCCCCCCACGTCCAATAAATTCCCATTCTCTCCAAGGAATCGACGATTATGTGTGTGAATCCGTGCTGTTTTCTCTCCTGAGAAGAGGAAGGACGGCAAGGGAAGAGTAGGAAGGGGGGGCGGAGGCGCTCAGATGGGATGGAGGACGGACACGGTAGGGCGGATGGAGGGACAGGTTGGCGGCGCGCACACGGGGGTAGGGGTAGGGGGGGAGGCTTCTTAGAAGGAGGCTGCTTCTTAGAAGGCGCCGGCCTTACATCTACAGAGAAGGCCCTTGCCTTCTGAGAAGCAGGGGTGCTTCTAAGAAGCCTTCCCCCATCCCCCTACCCCCCTCTGCGCGTGGCTGAACATGGGAGAAAAAGGGGACAAGAAGAAGAATAACAAGAAGAAAAGAAAGAAAAAGAAGAAGAATAAGAAGAATAATAAGAAGAAAAATAAGAAGAATAAGAATAATTATAAGGGAACAAGGAGGGAGGGAGGGAGGGAGGGAGGGAGGAGGGAGAGGAGAGGAATGGGGAGGGAGAGAGGGAGAGAGGAAGGGGAGGGAGGAGGGGAAGACACCCAGCGTCCGCGCGAAGCTCGAACCAGGCCGTGCGCGTACGCATGCGCGCGCACGGGCCCAAAGTCTCGACGCCGACGCTGTCCGCAGGGGCGAGAGCGGGGAACACAAGGGATTTGGGCTCCAGATCAGGCCGAAATCGGCGCGTTCCCTCGAAACGCCGACTGCAGCATGTGAAATCAAGGTGTAGTTGTCAAATCCGTCGAAATTCGGCCGGCGCCCATGGGTATCGTGCACGACTTGACGCGCAGGTGCTGCAGAGATCAGTGGGCGAGAGCGCAGGGACCCAAACCAGGACATCGGCTTTGGACGTGTCGTCGCGCGAGCGAAAACATCAAGGCTCCGAAGATGCCGCAGGACAGTCCGGAAGGCCAGCCTGGGTCCTCTCTCGAAGCCCTCCTGTTTTTTTTTTTGACAGGGCCTCGGGATGAATGCCCACCAGGGCACAAGGCGCTAGCTCCCGCAGACAAGCACCTCTGCTGTACGAGATTGCCGCCGCTGGTTGCCTCCTTTGAGGTCCGCAGCAGCAGTCTGTCGGCGTCCACGGGTGCGGCTGGGGAGCAGAAAGCTGGCAGCCGCAACGCGAGCCTCTACGAGGCGGAGCGCTTCCGAGACACACGACAAAACGCAGCAACACGGGAACCCCTCCAGAGGGGCCTCGGCTGCACATAACATAAAAACGTCATGTAAGTGTAAGATCCTCGCGAAGAGAGGGGCAGGCCCGGGCAGACTGGCCTCTGCGACGCCACGACGCGAGCCACAGTCGGGGCCGTCCAATGACCGCCCCCGTGCTCGGCTAGGAAATCACCACAGACGAGCGTGCCATGCGCCTTCCCCCAGAGCGGGGTGCCTGACACGCGTGCCGAGCGGCCACGAGTGCACACACACACACACACACGACGGACGCGCACGAAACACGAGAACAGTTGAAAAGAAATCGACCGCCCACACGAGGACGACGAGACCCGCCATCCCTGGTGCAACGAGCGCCAGGACGACCGCAAGCCTCGCCCCAGATGTGGGGTATATACGAAAATGCCACCTTCACAGGGGGCATACTAGTGGCCTGAGGCCACGCAGGAAGCATAAAAACACATGAAACTCTGAAGACGACCGCCCACACAAGGACGACGAGGCCCGACGCCCCTGGTGCAGAGAGCGCCAGGACGGCGTCTGGCCTCGCCCCAGACATGGGGTGAAGCACGGATGCCTGCCAAAAGGGCCAGTCGCATCGGGCCGTGCAGAAGAGGACACAAGTGAGAAGAACAAATACGTGCCTGCCGATTGGCCACCCGCGTCAGTCCGAGCCATCAGACTCCTCCCCGCGGTGCGGCAGAACGCTCACCATCTCTCCCACAGGCGAGGTGTGTGAGGTGGCGAACACCCTGCGGACCCTCGACGCCTGTGCGTCCTTCACCACGTCTGAGGGTCCTCCTCTGTAACTCGGAAAGATATTCATGCCTATCCTGGCCAGGTTCTGGACGCCTTTACGTGTGGCGTGTGGCAGGCACGCATTGGGACATTAAACTTCTCGGGGCGACCGTAGCCGTACGGCCGCACGTCGCACAAAAATAAAGTGAGTGCCGCGGCCAGAAGCGGAGGGCATGAGACTCGTGAAGCTGCTTCCCGCCCAGCATCACCCCCCCCTCCCACTGACCGAAACTCATCGATAGCCGAGTCCGTGGACCCTGGGTCCGCAGGCAGGTTGACCGAGCACTCTGTCACGCATGCCTCCAGAATATCTTTCTGGAAAACAATGCAGTGGCACAGGCTGCACACATATTTATGAGACGGCTGGCGCACAAAACAATGTTGACTCTCTAGCATGGCCTTTGCAAGGGCCGCCTCCGACGAGGCTGTGCTGGGGCTGACTTGAGCCTCACGGGGGCAGTTGGAGAGGTCCAGACGAGGCCACTGAGGAAAGATTTTGGCCGCCAATTTGCATACCGCGACCTGGAAGCCCTGGGAGCTGGAACCAAACAACTCCATCCACTGAATAAACCTAAAAACCCGGCGGCCAGTCGGGGGGGGAAACTGAGAGGGGGGGCCTATTATCAGGAGGCTCGGGAGCCACCCGGCCGTCTGATAAGTTTCCTGAACCTTCCCTGAAGACGCAGAAGGCCTTCTGAGACGCCCCGCCGATTTCTGAGAGGGCCTTCTCCTTCTCCCTTCCTGTCCCCCCGCAGCAACACGAGGAGGAGGAGGAGGAGGAGGAGGAGGAGGAGGAGAAGGAAGAGGAGAACCAGTGTAAACCCAAGAGCGTCATCAACGATGTTGTAGTAAACCCTCCCTCCAAGCTCCCTCTTTATAGGCCCCTGCAAAGGTTCAGCTCCATTGATGGAACTGCCTCGTTGGAAGACACCAGCTTGAAAACCCTGAAATATGCCAAAGCATTGTTCTCGGGATTCCACCGCCACGGATCAACCTGATTGTTGCGTCTTGACGATCCTGAATCGTGCGAGAACGCCATTCCTAGGACTTCAGCACAGAATTTCAACGTAACTGTTGCAACTTCATAAGCCTGAATCCGTGCAAAACGCAATTCCAGAACCACATTTTGAATAGGAGCCGCCCTCAACCCGTGAAACTCTTGCAATTGTTTAACACAGATGTGCGCGGCGCTAAGGCATTATCCACATTTTGAGAAGGAACCGCCCTCAACCCGTGAAACTCTTGCAATGTTTTGAACAGATGTGCGCGGCGCTAAAGCGAGATCCACATTTTGAACACCAGTCGCCCTCAATCCGTGAAGCTCGTGCACATCTCCAAACGAATGTACGCGGCGCTAAGGCGAGAGCCACATTTTGAAAACCACTCGCTCTCAATCCGCGAAATCCCTGCCATGTGTCAATATGAATGCGCGCGGCGCGAAGGCGAAAACCACATATTGAAAACCACCCGCCCTCAATCCGTGAAGCTCTTGCAAATGTGTGAAACGAATATGCGCCGCGCTAAGGCGAGAGCCACATTTTGAAACGACCCGCCCGCAATCTGTGAAACCCTTGCAATATATAGATACGAATGTGCGCGGCGCTAAGGCGAGAGCCACATGTTGAAAACCACCCGCCCTCCATCTGTGAAGCTGTCGGCACTTTTTCAGCTTCAGAATCGTGAATGGTAAGGCAAACTCAAGCCAAACGCCCAGCCCGCCCTGAAAACTTGCCTCGGGGTGCGACAAGGAGAAACCGTGCATAAGGAAAGAGAATGGAAGAGGACGGGGAGGAGCAGGAGGAGGAGGAGGAGGACGAGGAGGACGAGGAGGAGGAGGGGAAGGAGGAGCAGAAGCTGGAGGAGGAACACGAGGCGGAGGAGGAGGACGAGGAGGAGCATGAGGAGGAGCAGGAGGAGGAGGAGCAGAATGAGAGGTTGAGAGGAGAAGGAGCAGGAGGAAGAGGAGAAGGACGAGCAGGAGGAGGGGCAGGAGAAGGAGAAGGAGAAGGACGAGGGGTTAAGAGGAGCAGGAGCAGGAGGAGGCGCACGAGGAGAAGGAGAAGCACGAGGAGGAGCAGGAAGAGGAGGAGGAGGAGGAGGAGGAGGAGGAGGAGGGTCAGGACGAGGGGACAAGAGGAGAAGGAGGAGCAAGAGGAGGTACAGGCAGGGCAGTGGCTCGCTCGCCGCCGCTGACACCTGGCCGATGGATTCTAGCACTCTCGCCTCGGATCGCTCGCAGGAGCGGACACCCGGGCCCACAAGCGGCCCCCGGGATCGCCCGGCGAGGTGGCCCCCTCGGGGGCCCCCCAGGACGGCTCCACGAGCGACCCACGAGGGGGTTCTCGGAACGGCCCAGGGGGGGAGCTCCCCCCCAGGGCGTGCCCCGAGGCCACGGGCAGGTGTCCCAGACGCCCCGAGCGACCGCGTGAGCGAGCGTGCGAGCCTGCAGCACCCGAGAATTTCGTGCTTCGCCCTGGGTGCCACTCTGGATGCATGTCCATGCCGTCGTGCATGGCCCAGGTGACGCTATCATAGCACGAGTCTCCCTCGACTGCAGTCTTGCATCGGCCCTGGTTCTCCGCCATGACGAGGCTCGAACCGTTCAGGCCGCAAGGCGGTGGACAAGCTGACTTGTTCCGGTTGTGGACGACCATCTGGAACTCCTTGCTCGAAGCATCCTGCACGTGGGCCCGCAAAGACTGCATCGCGCGTTGCCTTTGGGAGAGGCGTCCACGTCGATAGGTGTCTGCACTTTCGAGCTCGAGGCCCCCCACCTAACAAATGCGCTGGGCCGAACATCGGCAAGACAAGCGCGCTGTCGAAACGCCTCGCCAGAACGACCCAAACAAAAGCACTCGAAGGCACCCAGGGTCTGCACACCTGAGCCTGAACATGTTCCAGGATGACGGCCCCTGGCCCCGAAACGGTTGCAACGTCGTCGAGCACAATTCTGTGTTGGCCACCTCGCGTACGACCATTTCCACTGCTGGTCGTCATGTCAACTGCTCGAGCAAGGCACCCCCACGCACCCGCCCGCAGCTTGCACGCAACGCTCAAGGTGTCGCCGCGCCGTCCGTTCTCGACGCGACGCGCCCGAGATGACCACGCCGACACCATGGCAGACCCACGGCAAACCCTGCGTCCCGCGCCCCAGGTAGGTGAGCGTTTTCTTATTCGGCGTCTCGACATTGGGCGGAAGGCGGGGATGGGGGCGGGGTCTGGCTCCGGAAACCTCTGCTCAGTGCGGCTGTTTCGAACCGTGCGTCCTCTGGGGGGACACCCCACCTGCTCGAAACGGGGGCCAAAAACAGACAAGGTCTACTCCATGGGGGGGGACAGGGGGGGTGCGAGAGTCCGCGCCGATCGGCAAAACAATAAACAAAAGAACGACCACTAGACGAAGCCGGCACCGCGGCAAAGCCACGGCAAGCCCTGAATCCGAAGCGGAGTTTGCCCTGGTGGCCGAGGCGCCCTCTGAAAGACACAAGGCCGCGCGTCGGAACAAACGGCGAGGCGACGTATGCGCAGTGAAGCGAGGGCCCTTCTCGTGGGGACCCTGGACTCGGGATCGAGCAGATGAAGCAGGCGACCACGAGGATGACAACGATGATGTTGATGACGGCAGTGTGTATGACGACGACGACGTCTGTACATGTGATTAACATGATGATGGTGAAGACGGTGCTGGTGATGATGATGATGATGATGATGATGATGATGATGATGATGATGATGATGATGATGATGATGATGGTGATGAAAATGGTGCTGACGACGAATGTGAGGAATTGCGCGCGCGCAGAAGTTTTGGCATCCTGGCAGCAAGTATATTGAATAAACATTGGTTTCATGAGCGATCAAAGGCGCACGTGATGAGATACTTAGACAACCCATGGTCTTGGAAGGATTCTGTCGTTCGTGCGCGGAGTCGGGCGCGCGTGGTCCGCACGCTACGATTCCACAGCATTGGCGTGCGCGCGACAGCTGTGAATTGATTTCAGCATGCGGGCACACGCGTGCGGCCCGCATAGCCTCTCTTGATAAAACCACAATGCCCAGCACCCTAGATTGATTCCTTCCTCCCTCCGTCCCCCTCCTTTTCATCTCCGCTCCTCATAATCCTTCTCCTTATCCTCCTCCTTATCTTGCTCCTTATCCTCTTCCTCCTCCTCCTCCTCCTCCTCCTCCCTCGCGGGCGTGAAAAAAACACCCAACCACTCACGCTTCAACACAGCCTACCGCTCTACTCCGCTGGGGGTCGGCGGAATGGTGTAAGCCACGTGGACCACAACAGCGAAGAAACTCGTTGGCATGATTTTAGCGAATGCGCGCGCAAGGATCCGGCAAATCTTTGGCTGGTCAGATCAACACCTGAGCACCGAATCGTATCATCTGAAAGGGATGAGGTCGGGTGGGGTCGACTGATCGTCAGCTGCCATGGTCTGGATTATCACAGTAGCGACTGCGCATGTGGAATCGCAGCTCGCGGAGGCGAGGGGTATCTCTGGCCTCGTGGGGGGAGCAGCTGATCGAGTGCATACGTTGCAGAAGAGTACGCAATACGTATCAAGATACTCAAGATTCCTTGTTCTCAGCCTGCTTTAGCTGGTTTTCGACACGCCGACGAGGCCTCAGCACCACCATAGATAGCTTGAAGGCCGCCAGAAACGGAGCAAATACGGCGCAACAGATCTCCACCAGGACTCTCATGAGGGCCCCAAGAGGCACACATTATCAAAATCTCATGGTAAAACGTGAATGTTTGGCATTCTCGCCGTTTTGGTTTCAACAGCGTCCAAAGACTGCTCAAGAGGACCGCAAATCATTTCAAAGCGACCCAACAAAGCCCCCAAGACAGCCCAAATCTAAGAGTGCCCCTAGACGGCCCAGAAGGCCCCCAAGACGGCCCAAGGGCACCCCAACAGGGCCCCAAGAGAGGTAACTGGAATTGACGTTCCGTGCCCTCCGCCACAAGAGGACGCCCGAAACCGCCCGAAAGCGCCCAGGAACCCCCAGGAGGCCCAGAGAGGCCCCAAAGAGGCGTTCAGACGCCTCAAAAATGCCCCCTGGAGGCCATCACTCCATGACGCCCCGCACGGCTCCGAGGGTCCCAAGAGACCCCCGACAGCCGCAAGAGGGCCGCACCGTGAGCCCATGTGTTCAGGCCCGAGAGATCGGGATGGGTTCCGCGATCGTCGCGAACTCTCTCTTCTGGGGGTCGGCGGAACGGCGCAAGCCGCGCTTGGCCTCTTCGATTCAGTATGCTTACAAAACACGGCAACTATGAAGGGGCCCCAGGACACACAAATAAATACACACAAATAAAGGTATTCCCCATATGTTCTGCGTTTTTGTCTTCCCCCCACTTCCCATAATTTCCCATATTTTCTGGGGAATCAACGATTCATTGTGTCTGTGTGTTTTTCCCCTCCTGGAACTATGCCTTCGACGCTGGCCTCCCATGGGACAGGCAAGAACGAACGGTGTGACCGTCGGAGAAAACCCTGGGCCCGAGCATGTTGACACATCGGTTTCACATTCCCCGCCCTCCGCCGGCGGGCCCGGCTCCGCTCCACTTCCGCCAGCTTCCGCCGCAGGTGAACGACGCCGAAGCCAACAGCACCCTTTCTGGAACGCCCTGCTTGTCTTCTGGATTGACGAGGCCGAAAAGTTTGGGCGCCCGAGTTATCCGGGGTAACTCGGGTCCGGGGTAACTCGGGTTCGGATTCCCGAAAAAGGAACCCGAGTTAGCCCTGACCCGAGTTACCCCTGATGATGTGGGGCTCTGGACGCCCGAGTTATCCGGGGTAACTCGGGGCCGGGGTAACTCGGGTTTGGATTCCCGAAAAACGAACCCGAGTTATCCCTGACCCGAAATACCCCTGATGATTCGGGGCTCTGAAAAGTACAGATGCCGCTACTCCCCGGACCTCCCCGAGGGCGCGTTCCGACCAGGACATCGAGGTGAATCCACTGGTGGCGACGAGAGCCTCCTCCCGGGAGGCCCAAAAAGCGGCAAACGAGGCGAGGGCAGCGGTATCGGTACAGTTTCCTCCTCCCGAGACCCCCGACGTCGTGATTTGCTCACGTCGACCCCCAGAGGTCTGGACCACTTCCCCGGGACCGGTTCTCCGTCCCGAGTCGTTTCCTGACGGCCCTGGGGCCCGGCGAGGGCCCCTGGAGGCCGAAACGAAGGCAAAACCTCCCGTCGTGAGTTCTCCACAGGGCGAGGAGGCCTGGGCCTGATGGATGGCGAGACGAGCGCCCCCCTCATGCCGACCTGGCCGGCGGCAGGCTGCGGCCGCCCCCCCAGGAGGGGGAGGAGGAGGAGGAGGAGGAGGAGGAGGAGGAGGAGGAGGAGGAGGAGGAAAAGGAAAAGGAGGAGGGAGGAGGAGGAGGAGGAGAGGAGGCGGAGGAGGAGGAGGAGGGGGACCTCGGCACCAAGAGCGTCCGCCAGCGGCCTGCGGGCGCGCCTCCCGCGGCGGTCCCGCCGCGGGCGTCGGGCTCGCCCGCGGTCGGCCACGGGAGCGCGCCTTGCAGACGCCGCGCACGGTTTCGGGGGAGGAAGGGGAGGAGGGGGGGGAGGAGGAGGAGGAGGAGGAGGAGGAGGAGGAGGAGGAGGAGGAGGAGGAGGAGGAGGAGAGGAGAGGAGGAGGAGGAGGAGGAGGGAAAGGGGAGGAAAGGGGAGGAAGAGGAGGCCTTGTGCTACATCGTCTGATCCGCCTCCCAAGGTGCTCATTGAATGGCTTGGGAGGGTCATTGCGCCGTGCAAAAAAAAAGAGGAAGAGGAGAAGGGAGGGGGGGGGCGGAGGAGGAGGAGGAGGAGGAGGAGGAGGAGGAGGAGGAGGAGGAGGACGAGGAGGTGCAAGAGGAGGAATGAATGAATGAATGAATAACTCGTGGAGTCCTGTACCTGCCTCTGTCTGACTGCCACAGCTCGCTGAAACAGAATTACAATCCAGAGAGAAGGACTCTGAGTCGGGTTGCTTCTGCACCCCCCAGACATCGTAGCGGATTCAACCAGCGCGCTCCGCTGGAAGCGGCACTGGCCCTACCTGCACCCCTATAGACGGGCACGCAGCCCTAGGGGGCAGGCTCCGAAGGCACGGGGGTCCCGTCCACACCACCCGTCCTCCCACGCCCAGAGCCCCACCGTTTCCCCTTGCCTTTGGAGCCCGCTTTACCTTTAGCTCTGGGGGCATATATAATTGGGGTCTGGGGCAGTGAGCCAGGAAGAGAGGAGGCAGCGGCATAGGTACAGAGCTGAGTGGGCGTATTAAGCACCTCAGATGAAATTGCTCCTCTAGCAACTAACTCCCGAAATCGCTCACTTCCCGAGAAAGCTTCCTGGGCCCTTGAGGCCCTGGAGGGGTTAAAAAAACGAGTGCACATAGCCCCGACAGGGGGCTGCTGGCTTGGTTGCTGCTGCTGCTGCTGAGTTATGCAGTCACTACTTAGTTTCTCCGAATTATCTGCTTCGAAAAGTGGCCCCGACGGGGGCTGGCTAGCTACTACTTGTCTGGGGAGGTCTCCTGGGGGCCTGCTGCCTACTCCTTCTTCTCGGATCCGACCATCGTGCCGATCTCGCGCTCCAAGGGGCCCCGCGGGGCCGCACCCGACAAGAAGATCCCCCCATCCGACTCCACCAGCGCCTCGAGCAGCTTGGACAGGTCGTGCCCGAGCTTCTGGTCCTTGTGGAAGCACATGCTGAGAATCGCTTTGGCCGTCTCGCCATTCTGAGGCTTGAGAATCTGGCACCTGAAGTACGGGATCGATCTGCCCAGCTTCACTGCCGTCACTCCAGCGGTGAAGATCTCCTTCTCGTAGAAGGCCTTCGTGTCGTCCCTGAGTTTGATGTGCTGCGGGTTGCCACCTTCTTCGAACTGTTTGCTGGCGCCGTAGATGATCGCCGCCATCGCTATGGATACGTGTGGTGGTCCCCTGGCTTTGAAGTCCACTGTGTGGCCGTTCTTCTGCTGGTCCTTGAGCTCGGTGCCGACCTTGTTGTAGTGCACTCCCGCCTGCTTGCACGCGGCCGCCAGCCCGATCGTGCCGTTCGGCAGCTCGTGGCGGAGGTAGACCGCGCCCTTCAAGTCGGCGACGTCCCTGGCGAGCGTCATCGTGAGGCGAGCACTGGCGACGGACAGCTTGTTGTTTCCTCCACCGCCCTGGCCTTGACGACTGCTCTTCCCTCGGCGACCTTCCTCGCCTGTTCCACCGTCTTCTCGTCCGTGCTTGGTCCCTGCCGCCGCCGCCGACGGGGAGCTGAACCAGGAGGGAAGCGCCACGGCGCCCTGCGATGCCATCCCTCCTCTGCTCAGGTACGGTAAACTCGCGAGGACGAAATGGAAGGTGAGAGCACAGGTGATCGCACAAATCATTTAAACTCGAGCCCTCGAACTCGCAGACGGAACACGAGTAGGACTTGACTGGGGCAATCTCTCGGAGCGTGGAAGGGCCGACCGTGTCGCAGTGGCCCCGAAACATAGATCCCATGACGTGTTTAGCTGCGTTGGCGCGACATGCAAATACTTGACGACAATGTACACAGATATTGGTAGGTGTAATGACATGACATAAGTTTCTCAGCCCGTGCGTTCCCCGAAGATGATTCATCAGGTCCCGACGTGTCTTGAATGAGGCATCGCATTGACCTGATCCATTTTCCTCGTTGGGAAGCCAGCATTTCCAAGGACAGTCTGCACTCGCCTCGACCTCCTGCTCCAGGTGCTCAGGTGGCGCCTGCTGAAACTCGGGAGGCGGGATGGCGACCGTGTACTGCCTCGCTCTGTAAGCCGAGGCGTCCACTGCAGAAAAGAAAGAGGCAGTCGCTTCATCCATAAGTAATCTGAAATCGCGAGCCACCTCATCAAAAACTTCCTGATCCAGCGCTGCAGCGAGGCTGCGGAGGTCTTCACGGAGTTGAAAGGCCCAGGAAGACGCCTGGGCACTGAGGTCGCCTGAGGGGAGAAGTGGCCCCTCTGACTCGAAAGGTAGTTCCCCGAAGAGGACGCCGAGAACCTGAAGATGGCGAGCGGGCCGTTGAGCCCAACTCTGCACCAAACGAACACGTCGAATTCGAAGCTCCAGAAAGGGGTCGGAGAGTTTCCAATATCTCATCAATTCCCGATTCGTCATCGTCCGAGGGTGATTACCTGTCCAATCCGTCGCCTTCCCAGCCATCGCAATCCTACAGAATCGGGCCAGCGAGGCCTTCTCGCGGAGACCTCCAGCGATTCTCGGAAGCCCACCGCCTGCCCGTATATAGGGGGGGGGCGACGGCACCCTCTTCCCACCCTCCACCCCTCCACCTCCCCCTCCTCCCATCCCCCTCCTCCCATGCCCCTCGTCCCGTCCCCCTCCTTCCCCCACCTTCACCCTCCCACTCCTCTTCCTTCCTCCGGCCCGCCCCCACTTCTTCACCTCTCCCCTTTTCCACCCCCTTCTCACACATCCTCCCCCTCCTCTCCTCCTTCACCTCCGTTCCCCTTTTTGTTATGAATGAATTATCCCTGTCGTCCCGTTCTCTGCCATTGGGCTTTGCTGCGCATGGGTAAAATGTTGGTAGTGCGGCTGGGAAATTGCGCCATCGACTTCCTCACCACTTATGGCATGGAGGTCGTGTCCTATATGTTTCTCCATCCTTAGCGCCGCGCACGTTGGTTTCAACATTTTGCACCAAGTACTCGGATTGAGGAGTGGGAGGCCCAAAAGTGGCTCTTACCTTCTTACCGAAAACTTGTTGCAGCTACATCGATGGCGGGGGGGGTTCAAGCTGTGGCTCTCGCCGAATGCTTCGCTCATTCGCTGTACGTAAAACTTGCAGCACCTGCGCGGGGGTAGCACACGTCGAATTCAAAATGGAGCTCTCGCCTCAAGCGACGGGCGCATACTTCTTGTACTAACTCCAACAACTACACGTGTGGGGGTGGGCGGCCCCTTTTCAACATGTGGTTCTCGCCTTGGGCAGCGCGTGCATTCGTATCCAAAGCTCGCCGAGATGACAAAGATGGGGGCTGCTCCTGCTCCAAAAGAGACTCTCACTTCGATCGGCTCACATTCGTCTTACAATCGTTTCATTTTCAAAATGTGGCTCTCGCCTACGCGGCGCGCGAATGTGTCTTGACAGGTTACAACGGCCACGGGGATCGGACATCCAGAAAACCATAACGTTGAACATGTGTAACAACTGCGGGAATGCACAAGTATTCGAAACGTGGCTGAGCTAGGCATGTCCTCGAAGTTCATGACCAGACGTGCAAAGGGCTGCAACTGTTAAACTGATGGGGCGGTCTTGTTTGAACAACGATATCGCTGGACACTTCATTGAATTGTATGTTCATCGCTCTTACCATTTCTGACCATGCGACATGAAGATTAACATTACTCCGTGTATAAAACGGGTCCCTCGCCTGAAAGACAAGCAAGCCCGCAACTCGTTTTCCAAAGAAGCAGCTCTTATGTGATTTCAAGGGTTTGTGTGAGAATGGAACTTAGAAAATCAAGGTTTGTTGTATTGCAACGCCGCTGATAAATATTGGGTTTACTATTGTCCTGTTCCTCCTCCTCCCCCACATCCTGCTCCCCTCTCCTACCCCTCCTCCTCTCCTTTCGTCCACTCATCACCATTTCTCCCACCTCGACCTTCTCCGCCTCTTGCCCGTCCTCCTACATGCCTTTTGCGCGCCCTCTGAGCTGTAACCCTAAGCTGGTCGGTCGGCGATCGTCGACGGGCAATATTGCTTCCTCCCCCATCCACATCAGCCTCCTCCATCACCCTTCCTGAACGACTAAACATACCTGTCGCGCCCCCAGACGCGATGGTAGGGCGGGCCAAGCATTGCGCTTGAGACCCCTTTAACCGCGGATGATCCTGAGGATTGACTTCGCAACCGTTGCAAGAATGGAACACATGTCGTCTTCATATGTCCTGTGTCGCATCTTCGCCAGAAAATCGCTCAACAGTCACACGGATGCGGGGTTTTGGTTTGTACATTCGAGACATCGCCTGAGCCCAGCGCGCGTTCGTTTTCCCTGTCTGCAACAATTGCAACAAGGAGGGCGGTTCCCTTCCGAAGTGAGGTGTTCGCCCACTCGTCGCCCGCTTTCCCGTGAAAGCATTGCAACACCTCCGTGGATGGGATGGCGGTTCCTTCTTCAATAAGGGGGCTCTCGCCCTGGAACCGCGCGCACTCGTGTTCGAAATTCGCAAGTTGCTACAGGCATGGAGGACGGTTCCTTTGCAAGATGGGAGTTTGGAGGGCAGTTCCCTGTCAACATTCGGATTTCGTATGGGACGTTCTCGCCCTCCGCGCCACAAGCTTCAGCATATGTGGGAGCTTCACGGATGGAGAGCGGTTGCGTTTCAAAGTTGGGGCTCTCGGTTGGAACTTCCTCGGAACGCATGACGGGAACTGCAAAAGGGTGCCACAGTTGCGCTGTTGTGTTGCAGCACGTATCCAAAAGGTGATTCCGTTGGGTACCGTGGAACTGCATGACGTCTGCCCGTACCTGGTCGCATTCCTGACTACGCGCTTGGAGGATGCAGGGCAAATCGCTGTCAAAACGAAGCCCTCCCATCAAATAGCAGGCCCAGTGGGTGCTGGTGCTGCACGTGGAATGCTTAGCGCAGTGGAACGGCAAGCGTGTAAGGACTTATCTAAGAGGGTGTCTTGCATCATCGTCAATGAATCGTGGGTTTACCCTGGCCCTCCTCCGCCTCCTCCTCCACCTTCCTTGCCCCCTTGAATAATTCTACTCGCAACTCCAAAGCGCTCCAGAGCTAACTGTTTGCCTGTAGTGTCTCAAATGCCGGCCAGACAACAATCAACCTGGCGAAGGACCCAACCATATCCAATTGTGAATACCGCAAGTATGAATATTATCTTCGCCCGCGCTCCCTATGGGGCCACGAACCGTGCGAGGGGCGTGCCGATATGCGTGGCGGGGCACACAACGCGAGCGAAGACGATAGGTCAGTGTGCGAGAGACTGAGGGCGAGTGAGTCTGATTGTGGATGAGTCTGCGCGCGCGTGAGTGTACGTGCACAAGTGTCGACGCCGATGTCGGCACGCCTCTCGCGAGGATCGCGCCCGCTTCCTTTCCATTATTATTCTCCCTCTTTGCCCGTGCACGCCCACGGGCAAGGCTGCGGGCGCGGCGCCGCACGGAGTCCCCGCGACGCGCGCTGGTCGCCCCGAAGGGGCCCGAAAACGGCCTCAATACGTCGAATACGATGGAAAACCTCTGAAATTCGAAAGTCGCCGCCATGCGAACTCCGCCACTGGGCTGCCATGCGAGTTCCGCAACGGAGACCTTAGGTGGAGCTCCCTGCGGGGACACGAAAGGCTGTACTGGGTGGTGGATGACCCATGCGGGCGGTCCCACTGGGGCCCTCGGTGGAGCTCCATATAGGGCCACGAAACGCTGTACTGGGTAGTGAGTGACGCATGCGGGCGGTCCCGCTGGGGCCTTCGGTGGAGCCCTCTATGGGGCCACGAAGCGCTGCACTGGGTGGTGGGTGACGCACGCGGGCGGTCCCACTGGGGCCCTCTGTGGAGCTCCCTATGGGGCCACGAAGCGCTGTACTGGGCGGTGGATGACGCATGCGGGCGGTCCCACTGGGGCCTTCGGTGGAGCCGCCTATGGGGCCACGAAGCGCTGCACTGGGTGGTGGATGACGCACGCTGGCGGTCCCAGTGGGGCTTTCGGTGGAGCTCCCTATGGGGCCACGAAGCGCTGTACTGGGTGGTGGGTGACGCATGCGGGCGGTCCCTCTGGGGCCCTCTGTGGAGAACCCTATGGAGCCGCGGTCCGCTGCACTGGGTGGTGGATGACGCATGCGGGCGGTCCCACTGGGGCCGTCGGTGGAGCCCCTTAATAATTATGGAGCCACGAAGCGCTGTACTGGGTGGTGGATGACGCATGCGGGCGGTCCCACTGGAGCCTGGAGCTCCCTATAGGGCCACGAAGCGCTGTACTGGGTGGTGGATGACGCATGCGGGCGGTCCCACTGGAGCCTTCTGTGGAGCTCCCCATGGAGCCACGAAAGGCTGTGCTGGGTGGTGGATGACGCACGCGGGCGGTCCCACTCGGACCTTCGGTGAAGCTCCATATGGGGCCACGATGCGCTGTGCTGGGTGGTGGATGACGCATGCGGGCGGTCCCACTGGAGTCTTCGGTGGAGCTCTCTATGGGGCCACGAAGTGCTTTGCTGAGTGGTGGATGACGCATGCGGGCGGTCCCACTGGAGCCTTCGGTGGAACTCTCTATGGGGCCACGAAATGAGGGAGGAGGGGGAGGAGGAGGAGGAGGAGGAGGAGGAGGAGGAGGAGGAGGAGGAGGAGGAGGAGGAGGAGGGAGGAGAACGCGGGGCGCTGTTGCTAGACATTCAGCCGCAAATGAAGAAACCGCCTCGACATGGTAGATAGCTTCCGTAACCGTGCTGACACTCACCATTCCGCCTGCCCCTCTTCCTCCTCCCCCTCCTCCTCTTCCTTCCTTTCCTTCTGTCCCCTGTCTCCTCCGCCTCTTCCTCCCCCTTCTGGGGGAATCAAAGATACCCATACCTCTGCTTGCCGGACCTCTGCAGAATTCCGAAGCGAATCCAGCCGTGGCGACGAGTGCCTCCCGGGAGGCCCATGAAGGCGAAAATGGGGGAAGAGTAGCGGCATCGGTACATCTTCCGCCTCCTCCTCCTCCTCCTTCCTCCTCCTCCCCCCTTCGGCATCCCTGTCGTCCTGCGTCAGGGGGTCGTACCACTCTGGATGAAGGTATATGCCAATGTGCCTCGCCCACTCCAAGTTGGCATCCGCCGCCACACTCTTGGCGGCAGGCGTGGCCCATCTTTGCCTCTGTGACTTCACTGTAAACTAATTCAGATGTGGACATCTATACATATATATATATATATATGTATACACATGTTTGTACATATACATATATGTATATATACACATCCGTCACCGTGCCTGCGAGGCCGGAGTTGAAGTGTTCTGGGGTCCCTTTCTCAATCCCCTGCGCCTTGCTTCTCAATCCTGAAGATAATTCGAGGGTCATGGGCCCCCAAATCTTCAGATCTCCCGAAGCTCCCGGCGTGCCCAGGGCGTTTTCCCGCACGACCTTTTCTGGCCCGAAAACTTCCAAAGAGGGGACAAGAGAGTCCCAAGAGGTCTCTGACCTACAACCAAGTCGCGGCTTTGGGATGGGCCGAAGGCCACAATATACATGTGTATAGATGTGTATATATACACATGGGAGACAATCTCACTGTAGCACGCAGACGGCCCCACAACGTGTCGAGCCGTTCCGTTGCCCCCCCCCTGCTGACACGATGGTCCAACACGCCCCAAGGACAACATACACCTCCGAGGCCCCCGAGGAACCTTCCAAGAGGCGACTGGGATTTGGAAGCGCTTCATTGTAAAACAACCGATGTTAACAATCACAAAACGCAACATCGCCGGTGACTCGGTAAGCATACCGCCTTGCCGCTGCGGTCGTGTTAGCTTTCAGATGCTCGATCGGGCCGCCTCAGACGGCAAAACAGCGGCCCAGCAGGCCCCCCAGACGGCCCCAAGACGGCCCAAGACCCACCCCAAGACAGGCCCACGACAGCCGACGATACGGCCAAAGCGCACCCAAAAGACCGTCCCAGAACGACTCCAGCCAGGACATTCCGACGACGCCCCCCAGCCCGGCTCCCCCAAGACGACCTGAGGGCCTTGGCAAGGGCCCCGAAGTCCCCTTCCTGACAGGCCCACCACCATCAGACTGCCCCTCCGACAAAGAAATACCACATGGGGCCCTGAAAGCCCGTTCCCCCCAGGGCTGCGAAAACCATCCATTGGGTTCTCTAGGGCCTTCGGAAGATCAGACATCTACGTGGGGCACCCGCTGGCACAACACATTCTTCTATGATGAGCCTATAGTGCCCGGATTATCCCCTGAGGGGGCGGCGGATTGTTCGCTACAGCGCGACTGAATAGCACGCGTCGCCAGGAATCGGATTCTTGCAATCGATCTTCGAGCTCTCCGAAGATGCCGACCATGAATTTGACGAGCTGCCCGCACTCTCCAGGGCCTCCACGGCCTTCTTCGTGAGGTGCGAGGGGCTGCAAGGCTGGGGGCAGATGGAGGCGTCTAGCCTGTGGATGGCGGCCTGGAAGTTCTCGAACTCGGAGGACTTCGTCAGGCCATCGTACCACTCCGGGTGGGCGAAAATACCATCGTTCATTGCCCACTTGACGCTCGTGTAGCACGGCTCCCCCTTTGTGGCCGTGTGGCAGTCGGCGTCGACCTGAGTTACATCCTTTCAAGAGTGCCGCGGCCAGCAAAGGCCAGGGGGCCACGAACACCGAAACACGTGCTCTGGGGTCCACGTATCCACACCGTGCTCTCTGTACATACGCATATCTACCAAATACACCAACATGTCTCATGCCACGGTCTCTTGGCCATCCGGGTCCGTTTGGTGCTTCCTGCCCCGCGTGGCCCCAGGGTGGCCGAGCGACCACGGCCAGAGTGGGATACCCTTCCCCTCGCCAAGTCCTGCCCCAAACACGAACACCCTTTTCGCCCATGCGAAACCTGCTCGAGCCCTGCGGATGAAGCAACCCCGAAACACCCCTGATCCATCCCCTCCCCTCCCAACCCCAAAAACACCTCCTGGACCCCTCCCCGAACAAGTTCTGGGCAGGATCTCGAAGCTGACCTTGCCGTCGAGACCAGGGCACGGCAGGACGACCTATGGACATGCGAGAGTTGGGCATCCAACTCCAGCTCCGCTCCCCCCGCCCATCCTTGACCTTCTTCTTGGCATCGGCCTCGACCTTCTTGCTGCTGTTCTCGCCCGGCTTGCCCTTCGGCGTGCACGGCACCGGGCAGACGTCGGGATTCTGCTTGTGCACCCAGGCCTGGAGGGGAACCACGTGTGTTTGCTGGCGATTTTCTGGAGCACAGTGTTTGGGACAAAAAGGAAAACAAACCTCCCTCGCTTTTGACCACCCTCGCTTCCAAGAGATACCAAACGATGCCAAATTGCAGCCTGTACTGGTCAGGCCGCTAGACGAGGAGGCGCGTGGTATGGCTTGGTTTTGCCTGGAAGCGAAAGCGGGGGAGGTAATTCACGCTCTGTGGGAAGGGAAGGACAGGCAACTCGCAAATCACCGCATGCCACACAGCTCCGGAGGCCGAGAGCACGCGCCCTCCCGGTGCCTGCCGGCCGCTCGCTCGAGCCCCGCGCCTGGACGGCGCCTCGGCGCACAAACACTGCACGCACATGCGAGTGAGCTGCAACGGAACTCGGCCACGGGCAGGCTTTGTGCAAACGGCGTCTGGTGGAGTCGTCGGAGCAGGAGCCGCAGGAGTGTCCACCTCGGGGCCATCGTCGCCGTCCATCCCGTTCAGATGTCTGAGTAGGCGCCTGCGTAGGATACTTTCCCTCCCAACTTCCACTGGTGTGCCTGGAGCGCGTGTGTGTGGTTGTGTGTGCGTGTGTGTGTGCGCGTGTGTGTTTGTGTGCGTGTGTGTGTTCGCGTATGTGTGTGTATGCGTGTGTGTATGTGTGTGTGAGTGTGTATGTGTGTGTGTGTGTGTGCGTGTGTGTGTATGTGTGTGTGCACGAGAAGGGTCAACTGGATGAGAAGCACTCGAAGCCACGGTCCTCAGAAGGGCTGCGCAGGTGCGGTAAAATGACTGCTCACCTGCGGGCTGCAGGAGGCAAGCAGTGTCCTGGGGCGGACTTGGCTCGGAGCCCTTGGCCCCTGAGCCACTGCCTGCCAGGCCCCTGTACACAAACCATTGAGCCAAGCCGCGAGGCAAATGCGCATGCTGCGGAATCGGTGCCAGAACGGTCTCACGAGGAGGAGGAGGAGGAGGAAGAGGAAGAGGAGGAGGAAGAAGAACAAGAAGGAGGATGACGAGAAAGGCCGAGGAGGAGGGAGAGGAGCAGGAGGAGGAGGAGAAGGGAGAGCGAGGAGAAAGAGGAGGAGGAGGAGGAGGAGGGAGGAGGAGGAGGAGGAGGAGGAAGAGCGAGGAGGAGGAGGAGGAGGAAGAGGAGGAGGGAGGAGGAGACGGATGAGGATTGACGAAGGGAGGGTCACAGGCCTGGAGGGGAAACATCTCAACAGGACAAGGGCAACACACACACACACACACACACACACGGCTGGATCCCTGCGCGCAACACGCGGATGCTACGCGATCCATATACCTGTGGCGGTGTTCGAGAACCCTGAGCCCAAAGCGTGCTCATCTCTTGAGACCGACTTTTGCTTCCGCTGGCCTCCGCCGAGCCTCCGCCGAGCCTGAGCCGGTGGAACCGCCGCCGCTACATACCTCCGCCGCCTTCCGCCGCCCTTCCGCAGCCTTCCGCCGCGGAAGGGGTGACAACACCCTCGATCCTCGAGGGCGAGGCCCTGCCTGCATGTGCATGTACGTGCATGTACGTGGGCGGCCTGCGGGCGCTGGAACCGACCGTGTGGCAGCGCGTGCCGCCGACCCTCGCCGGGGGCCGGCCACGTCGTGTGCATCCGGCGCCCAGGAGGAGGAGGAGGAGGGGGAGGGGGAGGAGGAGGAGGAGGAGGAGGAGGAGGAGGAGGAGGAGGAGGAGGAGGAAGGAGGAGGAGGAGGGAGGAGGAGGAGAGGAGGAGGAGGATACGGAGAAGGATACGGAGGAGGAGGAGAGGAGGAGGAGGAGGAGGAGGAGGAGGAGGAGGAGAGGAGGAGAGAGGAGGAGGAGGGAGGAGGAGGAGGAGGAGGAGGAGGAGGAGGAGGAGGAGTAGGAGGAGGAGGAGGAGTAGGAGGAGGAGGAGGAGGAGGAGGAGGAGCGGAAGGGCGGAAGGAGAGGAGTACTCCTGCTCCTGCTCCTCTCCTAACTCCCTGTCTGGGCCGCGGGGGTCGCCACTTCCTCGCGTCTCCTCGAGGGAGTGGACCCCCAGGAGCGCTCCAGAGCCTTCCAACACGACCCCGAGCGTCCGAGGACCTTCTCGAGCCTCGATCCGGCAAAGCCCCGGCTTCCGGGAGGAACTGGTGAGCCCCCTGGCGGTGACCCGCCCTCGGCACTGCCCGATGCTCCTGCTGCTCTTTCGTCGTCGTGCCTGGGCCAGGCTGGGGAAGCCAGCCTCGGCGCCGCGGCGGGACGCGGATCGGGAAAGGGGCCGACGGGCGAGATGTCAGACATGCTCGCGTGTTGGGAAGAGCTGCTTATCAGCAGCGAAGTCGAGCACCAACGCGGTCGAACGCCAGCGTGCTGCGGGCGGCTGAGGTACACTAAACTCTGGCGCACGCGAAGAAAAGCACGACGGCAAATTCTTGGCGACGTTCTGCCTTTGGCGACCCTCGGCAGGCCCTGGTACCGTCAGAGACCGACTCATGATGAGAAACCGCCCCTGGGGAAAGGTTCGGGACTTCCGGGGACCGCGTATTGAACGAATCGAGACGTCGCTTGTCTGGGATAGTGCCTGGGCAGGGTGCGGGGACTGGGTTTGAACGGGATCTGGTTGCATGGAGGAGGTGGTGGAGGTGGAGGAGTATGAGGTGCTCTGCTGGAGCGCCCTGGCCTGGAATTCCTCGAAGCTGGAGTCGCGGGTCAGGCCGGAATTCAGCTCCGGGTGCCCGGTGACCCCCAGCCTGCTGGTCATCTGCCAGACAACGCCTCAGAGTGAGAAGCGCCGAGAAGTAGAATAGGGAGCGGGAGGGAAAAGGACGAAGACAGGGGATCTGCGGGATATGCGGAAGAAGAAGAAGAAGAAGCGAGTCCGCAGCGACGGGCGCACTCTGTTCGAGGACGCGCAGGGGACCGAGATGAGAGTGGAGGGAGGAGGATGAGGGAGAGGAGGAGGAGCAGGAGGAGGAGGGAGGAAGAGGAGGAGGAGGAGGAGGACCGAGGAGGAGGAGGAGGACCGAGGAGGAGGAGGAGGAGGAGGAGGAGGAGGAGGAGGAGGAGGATGCAATGCAGAGGAGGAGGACGAGAGAGGAGGACAATGGGAAGACGGCATAATGACAGGAGAGGCGAGAGGCGGAACGGGAGGATGGGATCCACCTTGAGCCTCATCCTTGACCGATCAGGCCGTGCACGGTCCACAGACTGGGCTGATACAACAACTTCAGGCGACTGTAATTCGATCCGACTGCCTCCGAACGGAAGGGCGGCGAGCCTGCTATGACGGAGCTTGCTCAGCGCTGGGCCTCGAGGGGACCAGCCGATACTCTACGGGACCGCCTTGGACCCAGAGCACGTCCCCACAGCCGCATCAGGAGGAGGACGATGGGGAGGACGAGGAAGAGGACGATGATGATGATGATGATGATGAGGAGGAGGAGGAGGAGGAGGAGGAGGAGGAGGAGGGCGAGGAGGAGGAGGAGGACGAGGGAGGAGGAGAGCAAAGCCAGGCTAAGTCAGCGATGCTGCCCCTCCCAGCTCCACTCACGCGAGGCCTCTGCAGGTGTCCCCTTCTCACCGCAGGGGGCGCCGCGCCCCATTGGGGGGCGAGGCGCGCCGTGCCGGCGGGAGCCCTGCTCCGGGAAGGACCCCCCCCATGTGCTGCACCATCGCTGAGGCGTAAGGTGCAAGAGCAGTGCGGTGAGGAGGGCATCGGATTACAGGGCAGTTTCTAACGCATGGGATTTCAAACATCTCGGATTCTTCATCCATGGCTAGATGTATGAATAAAAAAAAACCCGCATGAACTCATCGTTGCTTTGAATACTAGATCCCTGCATTTTTTATACATGATCCGCACGCGGAGCATGTATAAAAAACGGCACCGTAAGGTGCAAGAGCAGTGCGGTGAGGAGGGCATCGGATGAGGGACCCGTGGGTAGGGAATCCGGGGTCTGGAAGAGGGTGGGACTCCGGCCGTGGAGTGGCCATGGCCGCCGACCTCGTCAGAGACGGACCTCCCCAGGGTTGGGAGAGCCAGCCCCAAAGAGCGGCCAGGAGCCGCCCGGCGTGATTGAAGGGGCCCTGGGACACACAAATAAATACACACAAATAAAACGATTCCCCATATTTTCCTATATTTTCTGGGTTTCTGTCTTCCCAACCACTTCCCATATTTTCCCCATATTTTCTGGGGAATCGAGGATTAATTGTGTCTGTGTGTTTCTTTTCCTCCTGAATGTCTGGGAGAGATCAGCGCCACCTGAGGGCCGCGCTGCCGTAGCACTCCTCGCCCTGCACCGAGGTGTGGCACGACTCGCTGGCCCCCGCGAGCTCCACGACGCCGCCGCCCGGGCGCAGGCCCGCGGCGCTCCTGCAGGGGGGGCGCGGCCAGGGCCCCGAGCCACGACCTCGCATCTCTGGGCCAGGGCTGGACCGAAAGCTTTTTTGTTGCTCGTTCTGTGTTCGTTGTGTTGTCCGTTTTGCTCGATCTGCTCTTCTGCACCTCCCTCCCCAAAACGAAGAACAGGACACGGCCGAAGTCCAGCCAAACAGCGTTCAGGTCCAGCCCTGCCCTGGGCACTGCAAGCGTAAAAGCGCGGCGACGGCTGCTTCGGGCGTTTAGCACTTCGGGGGTAGGCCAGCGGGGGTGGGTCGAGGATTGCAGGACAGGGGCCCCGCAGAGAGGCCCCAAAGGGGCTTCCAGGGGCCCCGAAGGGTGCACGGAAAGGCGCACCTATCTTCACCATGCGTGTTTAGGTCGGGCGTGTCCTCCTACAGGCGTGTTTTGGAAGAGAAAGTTAGAATTAGTAGAACATATTCCAAAATGGCCAACAAAGAATCAAAACATCGTCCCCCGACAAGTGTTCTATGAGTTGGGGAACGTTCCTCTGTAGAGGGACGTGCCCGACTCAAAAGCATGTATGTAAAGCCGTGTCTCTACGACGCATCGGCTGCAGTGCTGGCGCGGCGGCCAAGAGGGCGTCTATCCTGGCCGCTGCTCAAAGATACAAGGTGGCAGTTGCTGAAATCTCACGCGCAAGAAAAAAGCGTCGCTTCACGACTGCCTTCCAAAAGGCTCCCTCGTGCAAAGCTCGCCCGAGAAAAACGCCGAGGACTGCGGACCTCGGGGGGGGGGCGGAGGCGTCGAAACAAAAACAGATCTCCGACCATCCGATATTGTCACCACCCGCATTGTTCTCAAAATTTGGCCTCTGGGTCCCGCTTTCGGGCCCCGGGGCTATGTCAGTCTCTGGCCTCCGTTGGCCGCTCGGCTCCCGGAACGCTCTAGACGAGGCGCAGCTGCTGGAAGGCGTCCGGAGGCAGGAGCAAAAACCTCCAAGAAGCAAGCAGAAACGCGTGCGACTCGGGCACTCCTGGAACGCTCTCCACGAGGCGCAGCTGCTCGAAGGCATCCGGAGGCGAGGAAGACCTCCCAGAAGACACGAGACCGCGGGCCACGAAGACTGGGGGTCCCCAAATCGTGTGGTAACAAACCGCGCGGCAACCTCTGAACCCCAAGAGACCTCACCGCGCGGTCCGTCACCGCATGGTTTTGGGATCTCGGACGCCCCAGTGGCCCAAGACATCCTCGACGAACGACCCGAGTCCCGACACCGTGCGGTGACCCCGAATCCCTACCGACTCACCACGCGGTGTGGACACCACAATCTTTGAGGAACCCCGAGAAGAAGACCTCCAAGAAGAGACGAAGCCGAACTGCGCGCGACGAAGATCGCCCTGCTCCTCCTCCCCATCCTCCTCCTCCTCCTCCTTCTCCTCCTCCTCCCCCTCCTCCTCCTCCTCCCCCTGCTCCTCCTCTGCCTCTTCCTCCTCCTCCTCCTCCTCCTC